GAGGAGGAGGAGGAGGAGGGGGAGGAGGAGGAGGAGGAGGAGGAGGAGAAGGAAGAGGAAGAGGAGGAGGAAGAAGACTCCTCGCTTAGTGTAGGGCAAAAGAAATCTCCGATGGCAGCTAGCGCATCAGATACTGAAGCGGTGGACAATTCCAGAGATGAAGATTATTTTGAAGACCCCTCGACAAATCAATATGACAATACATATTACTATTACGACGAGTACGAGAATGGGAATCGTTCCAGATACAAGGCTGTAGGTAAGTCTCAGTTCCGGGTAGTTGAATCGACTGATTTTGCTCTCACACCAATTGTCCGTACTAGATGGGGAGAATCTCGATTATCCAGACGCAGAATCAGAGGACGAGGATGTTACGTTAGAGGGTTGGAAAGATTCGGGGTCAGAGCACGAGACGCTAGAAAAGAGGGACGAAGACAATCTTTACAAATCATCGACCGCGTCGTTGCACATCCTCGAGGAGGGAGACAGCGATCTGTTAACGGCGACGGATCTGGAGCAAGGTTCGTCCATGGAGGGTAGCGACAAGAGCTTCGCTTTCCTCGATTCCAAAGAGAAGGAAAAGTTGGACAACACCACTGTTGACAGTTCCATCTTGATAGGCGAGGCAGTGGTTTCCGTCGTGACCACAAAAAGCGTAGTGAACGGCACGATATCGGTACCGACGACATCCTCGCCGAGCACTACCGAGCAAGTCGCGCCACCACCCTCGTCGGAACAGCCCATAGCAGAGGTAAGCACGGAGGTAACCACGGAGGATTCGTCGAGGATCCTGGCTTCCGTACAAACTAGCCGCAGCGTATCGGGCGCGCGCTTTCTGCCGTTTCCCGCCGTGATAGATCGTGTAGAGCAAGTAAAGCAGATTGAGCACAGCGGATCACCCGACGGCAGGAAAACGTCTCAATCGATGTCCGAGTCCACGGAGAGTATCATCGATAAGCTCGACTGGGCACAGTCTAGACTATCCGGTGATCTCGTACCGGCTGCTATACTCAGCGGAGGTTTCCGAAGCGCCGGCAATACGCTTCAGCTGGACGTGCTAGCTGAAAGAGAACGCACGACCCGCGCGAAATTTACCACTACTACGGCTAGAACACATGTCATCGGCAAGTTTGTACCGCGGCGTTACAGTGACAAAAGACTGAATCACACCAGCACCACGGCGAAGCCACTATTGGAGACTACGCTCGATAATCTGGAAGGCTTGCTGCCCCGAAATTACGTGTCAAGAGGAACTACACCAAGTGCGGGGTCTTCCAAAATCAATTTCAGGTAGGACCTTTCTTTGTTAATTGGTCATTCTGTTAACAAGCAGTCTCTCTCTCTCTCTCTCTCTCTCTCTCTCTCTCTCTCTCTCTCTCTCTCTCTCTCT